CTCTCTCTCTCTCTCTCTCTCTCTCTCTCTATCTAATATATCGATCTGTTATTCCTTCTATATATTGTTCCTCAGATATTGGAGACTGTTATAATTTTAATTTTTTTATGTGAATTCTTTTCAGTAATTTACTTTTCTTTTCTTTTTTATTTTTATTTTTGTGAAATACGCACTTTTGCATAATTTAATTTTTGTTACTGCCAAATGTTTGAGAGAAATGAAGATATGGATGATGAATTCGCGAAGCTTATTAGGAGGGTTAATCCACCCAGGTATTTTTTTTTCCTCATGATTCCTTCTGTTGGCCTGTTCATTTAATTGGATTCACTGTTGTGTTTTTTTTTTTTTTTTTAAATTGGCACTTTTTATAATTAAATGTTTGTCACTTTATGAACATATAAGCTTTTGTTTTCTTTCGGCTGATTTTCAATTTATTCGTATATGTAAGTTAATTCTTTTTTTTTTTTCCTGGTTAATGTCATTCGAGTTCTATTTAGAGGGATATTTTTAAATATTAAAGTTTTCTGATTTTAACTCAAATCCCTAATTTAGCAGCGATACAGAGGTTAAGGGTTTGTCAATCTCTAATTTTCCTCCTTATTGTTTGAAAAGAAGAAATTCAAATACCTCTTGTTCATCAATGTTGTTTAATGCGCTCTTCGTGATTTCTCTTTAATCAATTCTTTTACCTTTGTGGAATTTTGCTCACTGAATAAGTAAGTTAATTTTCTCATGCTGAAAGTAATTTTTGAGCGTAATTGAAGTCAGAAGGAATTGATTAATTTTAATTTTTTTTTTCCATGGAGTTTTATGAGCTTTCTGTTCCTATATCAGGGTTGTAATTGACAACGATTCGTGTGAGGATGCAACTGTAATCCAGGTATACAATCCTGGACTCTCCGACTGATTTAAAGTGCTTTTTTTTGTGGTGATTGGCTTGGAGATTAGGATAAGGTTCTTATTTCCCAGCCAATTATTTCGGTATTTTAATTGTTATATGATTTTTCTTGTCTAGGTTGGCTGTGTAAATAAGCATGGAATCCTCCTTGAAGTTGTTCAAGTGCTAACGGATGTGAACCTTGTTATTACAAAAGCATACATCTCATCTGATGGGGGATGGTTCATGGATGGTATGAATTTTTTGGACTTGCTAAGCCCCAGTTTGAGCCCCATTATTTCTCATTACATTAAATTAAATTTTTTTCTCTCTTACTTTTAACCACACAATTTTCAATAAAATAATATTATACGTAAATCAAAAACCTTTCAACCACTCATTTTTCAAAAAAAACACTATTCATCTCATTATAATCTACAAATAATGGGGCTCAAACGGCCCCTAAATATATGTAGTATCAGTTTGGAAGCATATATACATTAGGGATAGGGAGGTTGGGGTTTGTTGGACATTTCTGTGGGTTTTTAATTTTTATGTTTGTTTCTTATATCAACTTCTTTGAAATTAAACAGTGTTCAATGTGATTGATCGTGAAGGGAAGAAAATAAGAGATGAAGAGGTTATCAACTACATCCAGAAGGTATAATTCCTCTGCAGATTCTTTTCTTCTATTGTTATGATGATTGGGTTTTCTAAGATAGAGAGTGCAGAAAGATGACTAATGGAGTGCTTGAATTTGTAAATGGACATCTTTAAGGCTGAGGGGAAAGGGAAATTGAGTTATCTTTGGAATTTTGCTTTTTCTTTTTCCTAGGCATGGCTGAAGTACTTTTGATCCTTGTCAAATCATTTAACATTTCCACCTTTTTTTTTTCTTTTTGGATTCTCTCGTGGCAGGTTATATGTATACTTTATTTGTTTAATGTTGTAGTTGATGTCTTTCCAGTATTTCAATTTTATTAATTTCCTCGTCAACCTGCTATTCTTCAGACACTTGCAAATGATGATGGCTCAGTACCTTCACTCAGAGGGTCTGTTGGTTTGGTTCCTTCTGAAGAGAGCACATCCATTGAACTAACAGGAACAGACAGGCCAGGTTTATTGTCTGAAGTGTGTGCTGTTCTCACTGATCTTCATTGCAATGTGGTGAATGCTGAGATATGGACACATAACGCTAGAGCTGCAGCGGTAGTTCACGTGACTGATTACACTACGGGTTGTGCAATTGAAGACCGAACCCATCTTGCAATAATAAAGGAGATGCTTTGCAATGTGCTTAAAGGAAATAATGATCTCAAGACTGCAAAAATGTCACTTTCTCCTCCTGGGATAACCCACAGGGAAAGAAGATTACATCAGATTATGTTTGCTGATCGGGATTATGATAAGGTTGAAAGACACAAAGGGTCCAGTGTTGATGATAAAAGTTCCAGACCTCATGTAATTGTATCCGATTGTGCTGAAAGAGATTACACAGTCATTACTATGAGGTCAAGAGATCGACCCAAGCTGTTGTTTGATATTGTCTGCACTCTAACAGACATGCAGTATGTTGTTTTTCATGGAGTAGTACACACCGGGAGAATGGAAGCATATCAGGTACAATCTTCTCTAAAAATACAAATCTCTGCATGTTGAAATTGGACTCAAGTTTTCGAAGTAACTGGATCATGTGATGAACTAGTTGATTGATCTGCATGTGCTTATACACTGTATAATTGGCTTGACATGTAAACTATATGTTGTCATTTAAATATGTAGGAGTACTACATTCGTCATGTTGATGGATTTCCTATATGCTCAGAAGCTGAGAGAGAACGTGTCATGCAGTGTCTAGAGGCAGCCATTGAAAGGCGAGCCTATGAGGTATGCTGATTGTCACAAATTTGTATTCTAAGTTTACATTAGACTCAGTGGTGCCTAGACACTGGACACTTATCCCTTCGACAGCGTTTTTTATTATTTTATTATAGTAATATATAGAGCACTCATACATGTATTAGGTCATCCTAATAGCAAAGGATTTAGTAGGGAACCATTTTTGTGCAGTACAAGTGTGAAAAAAACTTGAATTCCCGATTATGGTGAAAATTTGGAGCAGCGAATAAATGTAGCCCTGACGTTGAGAGTGAACCACATAAATTTGTGTATGCGTTGCTCGATTCAATTGCTTTTTATTTTTGTCATTGCTCTAGAAAGGAAGGTTTAAGGTGTAATGCATAGCAGTTAAATGATGATTATGGTCTAAATACATGTTTTTTTCTTCAGGGACTGGAATTAGAATTGTGCACGGAGGATAGATTTGGACTTCTATCAGATATTACGAGGATATTCAGGGAAAACAGTTTATGTATCAGACGAGCAGAAATATCGACAAAGGGTGGCAAAGCCAGAGACACTTTCTACGTCACTGATGTTACAGGTAACCCTGTTGATCCTAAGATGGTCGACTCGATTCGCAGACAGATTGGACAAGGTATTTTGCACGTCAAATGGAACTCAAGTTCTTCAGAAAAACCACAAAATGAGAGAACATTTAGCTACCTTTTCGGGAGCTTCTTCAAAGCTTGAAATTTCAGATTGATCAAATCTTGCTCCTAGACTATTGTGAATCTATTAGTCTGTGCGTTTTAGGGGAGGAAAAACTGTAAGGGTTTGTGAATACTTTAAGTAGATGTCTGTATTCTCTCCTATACACCGGCAAGTAGTAGACACGAAATTGCCATATACTGTAAATATACGAATCATGTAGTTCATTTAAATCCTTGTGCCTTGTAAGCAAGCTGTGTGAAAGTGCTGTAATTCTTGGTTTTATGGTAGAAAAAAATTTGTACAGGTACAGACGTAAATATATATGTAAAGGTTACATAATACTTATTTCTTAGTTTATATCCCAGCAGTGATCGAATTTATATGCTAATACATTATTTGTATGTTTATTATATTGAATGGTATTAAAAAGAAAAGTCAGTTAGTCTGTAAATTTCATTATTGATAACTATATTTTACTTTAATGTTAATTAGGTAATTGTACTTCAATCTCGTTCATTAAGTAATTACACTTTAATTTAATTTAAATTTGGTAACTTTGTCCAATTTCTTAACTTGGGAGTGATGGAAATTGATGGCATGAGAGTCAAAAAACAATGTTCATTTATTTTGCTGTGTCGTACATATTTCATATCAGCAACAAAGTGTTACATGTTATCTATTCTCTGTCAGAATTGGACGAGTATGATCAATTAAAATCAAGTCAAATTGTAATTTTTTGATTAATATTATATTTAATGCAATATTCAAGTGAACAAAATTGAAGTATAATTATTTTATTTACTTTAGAATGAAGTATACTTATACACGTTAATTAACATTTGCTCAATGAAAGCAAACATGGCTAATTTCTGAAAGATCCATAAATAACAAAGATTTACATTAAATTTTTCTTGTTGAATTGGTTACTTCTATAAGCTATAAGCGATGCACGCGCCACCGCCTACACTCACATACAAAGAATGAGGCGTTCGGCGAGTGAGTTGAGCCGAGCTCTGTGATTGCCACTTCGAACCAAGCAGGGGCGGATCTGGAGACGGGTCGGGCTATGTTAGAGCCCGTCCCTCCAGATCAAATGCTAATTAAAAAGAAAGATTTAAGTAAAAATAATAATAATAATAATCACTTTTTTGACATGTCAGCCATCCTGAATATTTTTCCTAGGATCCGCCTCTTCAACCAAGTGATTCCTAATTTTCCCTCCGTCACGGGAGCCAACTTTCCACCTGTTGTGTTGCCGAGACTCGTTGAATCCAAGACTTGTGTCCCGAGTTATCGACCTGTTCCTCGTTAACCTCGATTTTGGGCTTCTTCAACTTGGCATCCCAGCAGCCGGATTCTGACAAACTTCCACCACCTAACAAGCCATTCTCAAATAACTCTCCATTTCCCACCAATACCAAGCCATTGAAAAGCTATTCAGGGAAGTCCAGGCCAATAAAATTCACCTTTCGCCGGACGTTTTGGTTCCGAAATTGTTTCGTTGATCAGTGTGTTCTCGGTGTTAAGTGAGGTTAGTACGTTAACTTCTGAGATTGCACCCGAAACTTGTAATTCACTTCTTGCTGCTCCGTTGTCGGATTAAGGTATTTGATGAAATGAAGGTGTTAGATTGACTACTCTTGGCTTTGGGGTTTACATATGGAGGTTTTGCCGAAATAATGAATTGAGTGAAACTTTAAGTTTATTGGACACAGGAAGGTTGATTTTTTTTTGGGAATTAATAGGCTGATTATTGGAGTTTTGGTGGCTCATAGGCTGTGTTTGGAAGGTTGGTTGAGAGATGCTGTTTATGCTTTGGAAGAGTTGAAGAAAAGAGTGTAAGCCTGATTTTATGGCATATAGAATTGTTGCAGAGACAATGCGCATGATGAGAAGGGTGTTTGATGTGGCGATAAGTGTTAAAGAAGAAGAGGAAACCTGGGGGTAGCTCCAAGAGATAATAATTATAGGGAGTTCATTCATGAGTTGATTCCTGAGAGGCTGATATTTGACGCAAAAGTACGGGGTGAAGTGATATTGAGTGGGAATTTTCCATTAGAGGATGATGTTCTCAATGTGTTGATAGGATCTGTATCTATAGTATAGATCCTGTTCACGCAATGTTGTTCTCAAAGTTCATGCTTGAGATGGAAATATATGTGACACTACTTATTTTGTCCAATTTGAGTAAGAATTTAAGTGCCCAAAAACTGATGAATTAGGAGAAGAGCACAAAGTTTTGTTAGCCAAAAAGGTACTCCAAGGACTTAGATTGTTACAATATGATGGTTTCATTCTTCTGTGAGGCTGAGGGAGTGAAAGAAATTCATCAGGTTCTTCAGGAAATGAAGAAGAAAGGGTTGGGTCCAGATTTTTCTTCTTACAATTATCTTCTGGAAACTTGCTGCAGGGAAGATCTAGTACAGGCAGCTAAACGGCTATCGGATGAGATGTTTTCAAATGGTTGTTCTGGTAATTTGAAGAGATACAACATACTTAACCAAAGATTATCAGATATAAGTCAGGTTGAAGATGCTTACCGCCTGTTTTGCCACGTGATAGAGAAAGGAATGGGACCTGATGCAACGGCATGTTCATCCCTCCTTCAAGGCTTCTGCCAGGCCAAAACTCTTGTGATGGTGCTCAAAGTCTTCAACCAGTCTGTTGAACTGGATGCACTACTTGCCACTTGAGTACATTTATTCTGTTCCTTTGTAATGAAGGTTTAATGTGAAAAATCCATCTCTTTTGTATATTTCTTTTCCTTTTTGTAGTGGTTGTAATTCTCTTCTTGGAGCACGGAATTAACCATCTAAAGTGCTATTATTTTCAGGAGGTGACCAGCCGAGATCTTAATTCTCCATAATTTGACCAACTCGTGGCAAGTAAAACGACTTTGTCATCTCCACTCAGACCTTTCTTTCTAGATTCTTGAATTTGATCCTTATAAATTTTGAAGTGCATTATCTTCTCAACGGTTACACTCAATAGCTCGATTGTATTCAAGATTTGTATTTTTGTTCTCTTTCGGGCATTTTAGTTTTTGACCGACCTTGCAAACTTGAATTTGGTCCAAATATTCTCATCTGTTGTGCAGCTTGTACTTCTTAATTTGAACGAGTTTTGAGTTGCATAAATGTGAATATTCATAGCTGTCTTGCTTGGAGGATAAATCGGCATAAAAGATTATGACGCTTTTCAACTCCACCAATTTGCACTTATTCCCAGTTAAAAAAATTTCTTCCTTTCTAATTTCTAGTAGGTTGATTTTAAAAGTTTTATCATTTTCAATGGTTTTTTTCCTTCCCATATGAGCAAATGGCAGTAGTTTCATTTAGAAACCCCACCATTAAATATTCAAGCAAATAGATGTTGGTTGAAAGTAGCAATTTTCTTGTTACACTGCCCAAACAGGCTATCAATTTCTATGATAAATTTTGAAGTAATCCCACTCGACCTACATGGATGACAACCCCTATGACCACGCCCTCACATGGGATGAGTGAGTCCTGTGCGAAAAAAAAAATCCCGATCCCCCCATGTGTGTGTGTGCGGTCATCCACACAGGTCATGTAGTATGGTTGTAAATTTTGATGGTCTTAAGAGTTGCCTTGTGTTCTGTACATTATCACTTCAAACACTTTCTATTTTGTTATCATATGCCCGTGGTTGACCCCTTCTGTACTCGATACGAATTTTATGGGACAAAATAATTAAAACATTCTGTAAAGCGCTACAAATCATCCTTTGTATGCACTCTATTTTATAGAGGGAAGTGGTACATGTACATAATAATATCCATAATTATACGTGGTATTAGATCCAATCTTTAATTCAAATTTCACACTTGCACATCAATAACTGGATGATTGCCACATCACATTATGGACACCATTATGTGTAATAATTATGTACAAATAGAATTTTCCTTTTATAGATTCATTAGGTACGAAATTTTCCAAATGGGGAAAAATGGCTCATCATAGGTATATTGTTAAATAAATTTCTCCTATTTTCCTTGCAACAATAGGGAAGCCCAATTTTATAATCCAAAAATTATTTTCCTTTTATTTCCCCATAAAAAATCATGACACCGTTGAACTGATTACCAAGCAGCATGGAATTTTGAAACGTGCTCCCTATCCGGACTTGGGGACAAGGATAAAGGTGCCCCTGTTTCCACCCCTGTCCTAAATTTTGAAAAATAGAGGTGCCACATGGCGCCCCTGTTTTCACCCCTATCCCCAAGCCGGGACAAGGGGTTTTATCCTGGAATTTTAGAGCTTCTACTTGGAAAGTAAATGGATCTTTAGAAATGTCAGGTGAGTGTATATAAATGATTTAAATTATAATTAGATAGAGATTAGTGATTGATAAGTGGATCCTCAAAATGTGTGACTAAAAAGTGGCTTGAATGTTTTGATAAAGGATCAATGGCAAAAAACCTTTCTAAAAACGTTTTCATGTGCAATATACTTCCTTATTGAAAATTGTAGGAAACTCTCCTGTTTGAAATTTTTTGTGCGAAAAACTCCACTGTCATAAAGATTCATCAGACTTTCCGTTAAAAAAATAAAAAAATGTCAAAATTAAAAATTAAAAATAAATAATTGCAATTTCAGTATCCAAACTTTTTATTTTTTTACAAATTAAATCCAAATCTTTTTATGTGCCACCAACATTTCCAAATCTTTAAAACTTTATTTTCCCTGCACTCCATTTCATCTTCTTCTCAAAAAATTAAAAAGCCAACAAAAAAAAAAAAAAATGTTGCTCTTTAAGGTCGATTTCCCAATTGGGTCACTTAACTTTAAGTTTTAATCAAGTGGAAATTACATCAATTAAATAATTTCAAGATCTCAATTTTGATGATTTTGTGGTGGTGAACGTGGTACTGCAAATAGTTGTGTTGAGGTATTGAAGGTGATCGTGTCATTAGAGACGGTGGTTCAGCAGGTGGGGGTGGTGGCGACGGCGTCGATGGTGTTGGTGTTGGCAGAGGTGGTCGGATTTTGTTAGTTATGAGTGTGTTTTTTGTTGGCAATGGCACTGGTAAGGTGGTGTGCTGGTGGATCTGGCCTTGTTGGCGATGGTGAGTAGGTGGTCACAAACGGCTGTGGTGCATGCGATGGCAATGGTGATGGCGACAGTGACCAGTTTTTGACCAATAAATTGGATAATTTAATTTGTCATCAGTATATAATGTCACCTAAAAAATATGATTTTTGACTCACAATTTATTAAATTGTTACCGACAAATAACTTGGGAACAATTAATTTAATAATTTATTATTGATAAATGAATTGTAATCGATAAATATTTTGATTTTTTGATTGATGAATAAATTATTACCTATAAAAAAAATTTAATTTGTGACTGAGAAAGAA